TCTCTCTCTCTCTCTCTCTCTCTCTCTCTCTCTCTCTCTCTCTCTCTCTCTCCAGTACTAACCTGTGAAGTTGGTGCCTTGATGCAGGTACCTCGTAGAGGGAGCTGGAGCGATGGCACCACAGGTAAGTACCACTGGCCTCCGCCAGTATCTCTCTCCGATACTGCTACCCTACCACTATAGCGCCCAGCGCTGAAGACTACAGCTATGGCTATGGGCGCCCAGCGCCAAAGACTACTACTAGCGCGAATACTACTGCCTAGCGCTGAAGACTACTGCAGCGCTCCTCCTGAGTGCTGCGGCCGAAGCCTGAAGACTACTCGTGCCTCTGACAACTACCTACCCGTGAAGTGCATGGGAACTTCCTATGTACTACCGGGTGTGCCTCCTGACTGCAGGCGAGGCAGTCCAGGAGGCTGCTCTTGCCAATGCCTACGGGAGGCAGGGGCTGCAGCTGCAGCTCCTGCTCGAGCTGGCATGGGGAACAGGCTATTTCTGGCCTGTTCCGAAACCCTGTTTTCGTGCCTGAGTCTTAGGTAGGTCGAACACAATGAGGGCCTGAAAATGGCCCTCCGTTTCAGGCTGAAAAGCCTCAGGCCCAGAAATAGGCTGAAACGGTATAGGGCCTGCAGGCCCTCGTATTTCAGCTTTCAGGCTGAAACGACCGGGGCCTGTAAGCCCTAAGTTTTAGGCTTTTAGGCTGAAAGTGCGGGACGGGCTCTGCAGGGCCCGTGTGGCTATGCAGTATGCCACAGGTCGGCTCCTGTAATCCGGTTAGTGGTGTAATGATGTTGCTGGGTAGGGGCTTTCCTGTTAAGGAGACCCACAGAGATTCTGTTCTGTTGCAAATCTGCGTTGCCTTTGAGCAGGAAAGCAAGCAATGCAGTATATCTTCTGAGACGCCGTCGTGGCAGAGAGCACAGAGGTCGTCCAGTAGTCGTCTGGTCGCCTCTGATCGTTGCCTGCTTAACCAGTTGTTTATCAAGTAATATTAGTATTATTAACTTTATTAAAGTTTTTTTTTTTTTTTTTTTTTTGGCCCGGTCGGGCAAGTGATCCCGGGCCAATCTGGTAGCCTACTGCAGCCACGTGGCCGCCATGGTAGCCATCCGTAGCAGCAGCCCATTGTGCTTAAATAGGGCCTTGTTCTACTACTGAACATTTTACAGGTATCTGGACAGAACTGTGGACCAGATACATTCGGACTGATCGAACATTTTGAATGTATTGAGACCAATACCAGGTCCACAGACTCGTAGTAGTATGTTATGCAGTGGAGTGGGGCCCAAAGACGATAGTATTCGAAACTGTGGAGTGGGATGAAGCGGCTCTTGTCGTAGTGTTGAGCAGCATCATTCAGAGTCTTTTGTCTTTTGCTCTTTTTTTTTCTGTCTTCCAGACTCTCCCTTCATTAAAAAGGCAATGACCTTGAGATATCGTCGTTGAACTGACCGCCCCCATGTAATCCAAAATACTTGTTTGTCTGTTAGTATCTGAAGTCGATCTTGAGTCTGTATATCAACAATTCATGTGTGTACCAACTGAGCTAGGCTTGTTGGTTCTTCAGTCTTTTGCTGATTTCTTACTCTGTGCTTTTTTCTTTTCATCTGCTCATTTCTGTCCTGACTACTGCCGCAGGAGCCTGCATGGTTAAGAGTGTGGCACATGAAGCATCGGCGCGCTCAGCAATTGTATGCCACAAACATCGTACGCGACTGGCATAAAGCCGCAGTTAAGTTGGAGACCATGAGTGACATCAGGGATCAGCGCATCCCCGGTGCTCAGGTGCTTGAAGACGAATACGCCGATGATCCCTGCTCATCGTCGTCTAAGGACGAGTAACCTCTATGACTTGGTTGGTTTTCTGCTTCACTATCCGTTGTAACTGATAGATCTTTTTCTCATGTTTCTGTAGGTGTGACAGTACTACAACTATGCAAATGTGCAGTGCCGACCCTTGGCTACCACACCCAAGGAAGGCAGCAGGGGCATATAGATTACCCAATCCTGATCATCGCGGCTCGTATGGGAGGAAAACCCAATCTCGACACATGGTAGTTTCAATAAAATAACAAATACTGGGCAATCTTTACATCAGGTGGAGGTGCCTCTCCTAGCAAAGCCACTGGGTTAATTAAAAAAAAAAAAAAAAAGGAGGTGGAGGTGGATAAAGTGTGGTTGTGACTGTAGGCTTGGTAAGGKGCTAAGTTKWTGCTTTTTTCAAGGTTTTTTTTTTTTTTTTTTTTTTTTTTTTTTTGCGGTTCAAAACAACCAGGGAGGAGCAGGTTTGGAGTCAAACTGATCATCGGCTAGTATGGGAGGAAAGTGGACAGCAAGCAGCAGATGAGCTTCTTCACTGCGCGGTTCCCTGGACAAACGTTGCATTTGCGATGTGTCCGTTATTATTTCTGACTGATTGTGCAGAGGATCATCCTTTCCCATCTGCCAGTTCAAAACAGGAGTATCGATTCCGTCTTTCTCTCTCTCTCTCGTCGCATTTTCAGGCCAAGCAAGATGCTGTTCATTACAGTCGCGTTCAGCACCATTGCTACGAATGCTGTTCACGATGATATCTAGTGCATTGCAGCTGCGGTCTTTTTTTTTATATGCGAAGATGTCCTAACTTCTTCGAAGGTCTTTCCTATGCCTGTGGGTGTAGAGCCATTGGATACGAACACCTATCACGTAAAACCATTGGATTCCGTTTCGGTTGCGGTTGAAAACTGTCGACCTTGTGTTGGATTGAGAGACTCGAGGACTTCGAGAAGTTTCGACCTTAGATTCCGTTGCGGTTGCGGAAAATTTTGTGATAGGTCGCAAGACTCGCAGCCATCCACCCGATTTGACCCAACTACCATCTTCACCCGAATAGAATGCCCGGTCATTATAGCTGTATTTGGCACAACTTTCAGCCCAGATACGGCGATAATTACCAGGCGTTCTATTCGGGTGAAGACGGTAATGAAGGGGCTGAAGATGGAAGGTGTGAGATGGTGAAAGGTGGGATGACGGGAGTGTCGGGAGGTGAGTTAGGGGCCTGAGGGCATGCTCACACGAGGACTTTTTTCCTACTAAGTTCTGGACGTGATTGCAGTCTGTCTGTAATTGCAGTAGTCCGAATCTATCAGATACATTTCGGGAAGTACTAGCATGAGTATGCCCTGAATCAAGTGGATATTGGGTGCAAGCAACAGCTTCGGGGGTCAGGGTGTTGCGTTTCTCTTCGAGGTTTGGGACTCGGTCAGTTCCGCGGTTTACGCCAGATTGCGTCTTTTTTGGAGGGGCACCAGCCCAGTTGCAGGACTGTGCTGCTACGTCAGATTGCCTCTTCGAGGAGTACCCGTCAGTTAGTATGTGGTGATTTTCATAGGCTCAGAGTTTAGGAGGGTCTTGCGTCCTATAAGACATGACCCTCCTAAGGTGCAGGATTTGGGGTGCGACCTTGTTTGAGTGTTGTTGAGAGGGTACCAACCAGCCAGGTAGGATTTTTTCAGGGCCAGAGAAGGACAAGAGGGGTGGGGGAAGTGGGGTCTGCAGAGGAGGAGGGGACCGATTTTGGACTGCTGCTTAGTGTGCTTCTTGAAGGGGTACCAGCCCATTAGGATTTAGGTGTCCTTGAGTGTCAGGGAAGGAAGAGAGGGGAGGAGGAAATGGGGGGCTGGGAGGGGAGGAGAAGTGGACGTGGGGCGATTGGCAAGGGAACAGAGGAGAGGGGGGGGGGGGGAAACAAGGGGTGTGCACAGAAGGGAAGTTTGAGGGACTGCTGTCCAGTTTTTCCAAGTGAGCAGTGCGAATGAAAGGAGACGAACTCGGTCAATCGTCAACTCCCATTTCGTGACAGGGTAATCTCTGCCTGCTTGCGAAGATCGTCTTGCTCGGTTATGATGTTGCCTTGCCAGCCCATGTTGTGTGTGGTTTCTTCAAGTGCTTTAGCTTGACTAGGGTTTGCAGTTGGTTAGGGTTTCTGACTGACTTGTCATCAGGCACTTAGGCGTTTACAGCACACATAATAATTACACTAACGACGGCCTTTGTACCTGGCTGTTATTACAATCAGGTACGGCTGTTATTACAATCAGGTACATCCAAGGAATTCCCAAGTTTGAGTACACACCCTCTGTGTGTGCCTAAGTTCCTCTGCAGAAAGAAACATGTTTGTTTTGAGAGCCTGTTCCATGCAGATCCTATCCTCTTCCCCCCCGAATAGAACATACTGTTTTTTTCTAGCTGTATGTGGGACAACTTTCAGTCTAGATGAATTGATAAGGATCCTAGATGAGATGTCTGGAGGCTAGAGGCTGGTTGAGCTCTGTTCTGTGCAAGATTGAGTGGATGTTTTTCTCTAGTCACTGATGAATGGTCCGCGTCACATGATCTCGCCCAAACAGATCTTCGTCAAGACATCGCGATCGAGGTGATAATCTTCAAGGGACAAGTTATTGAGGGGCACATCCTACCAATCCTCAAGACACACCACGGGACCGATTCTGGGACCGATTCTGGGACCGATTCTGGGACCGATTCTGGGACCGATTCTGGGACCGATTCTGGGACCGATTCTGGGACCGATTCTGGGACTGATTCTGGGCCCAGAGGAGACAAGGAGCTATCTCTGCCTCTCGGACAGGAGGGTGACGAGAGTTTCTTTCTTCTTTGACCTCCGCTCTGTCAGCCCAGCAGGTAAGAATAAGGGCCTAGCCACACCACTGTCGAAACGAGAAAAGAACAAATGGATCTTACCCAGAAAACGGTAAGATGCATTGCATTGCTATTCATAGTAACGGATGCATCTTGCCATTCTCTGCGGGAAGATGCACTCGTTCTTTTTTCGATTTGACGGTGATGTGGTGAGGGCCTAAGAAGGACAGAATGGAAACATCCACCCTCCGGGTTTGCATGACCTCTGACGCATTTATTCTGAACCCGGCCTAAATTCGTGTCTCTTCTGAACCTGTTGTCTGAATGCCTCGTTTGTTCCACACCTACCTGAGTTCCTGTGCCTGTGTCTCGAACCCGCCGACTTCTTGTGCCTCTTTTCTGAACCTGAACCTGAACCTGAACCAGGTTCAGAATAAATGCGTCAGAGGTCGTGCAAACCTGAAGGGTGGATGTTTTCATCCTGTGCCTCTCTTCTGAACCTGAACCTGAACCTGACCTTTGTGTGTGGTCCATTACAGCGAATACAGGAAGAAAAAACTTGAGAAGAAGACATATAGGACCTCACTTCAGTACTTGGCATTCTAAGTGAATCTGGACTGCTTTTGGGCCAGATACATTCGGACTCGTCAAAAATTATGAATGTATTGAGTCTGCTAGCCATATATACGTTTAACTTGAATTTACGGGGCCTAATTCTGAACAAAAAAGCCATACAGCAATTACAGGAAAGCCCCCGAAAAAGAGTCTGAGGTCATATTCACACCAGGACTTTTGGTGACTCCTCTCTGAACGTAGTTGCGGTCTGATTCATCCGCCGTTGGCTGCAATTGCAGTCAGATTCATGTACGGAAGTCCTTGTGGGAGTATGCCCTGAGATAGTAAGGGGTATAAAATACTGGGTGAGAGTCTCATCAATTCTGCTGTATGCAAGGGTTCAAGTGACAAGACTTCTCACTTTTACCTTTTCTTTTTTTTTTTTTTTTTTTTTTTTCCCTCTGTTACGTTTCACGACCTTGCAGGCTATCGTGAATGTATAGGACTGAATTTACAGGTGTGGTTCATGCCAATACTCTTGTGTCGCAGTGTAGGTCATCAGCCAGGTGCAGGGGATGAAATTATGGAGCGTGCCCACCAAAGGTTCTACCTACTATAGTACTATTCTACCTACTATAGTAGTATAATTATACTATTATTATTTTTTACTTTTTTTAACGATTATTTTAATATTTTGTCTATTCCTTTCAACGATGTGATGTGTTAACGATGTTTAAAAGATCTAGTCAGTGCATTGTAAAGCATAGTGCCCAGCTCTGTGGTCATTCTTAACGAGCATCCTACTACCGCCTTCACTCGAATAAAAAATACGGCCATTACAGATGCATTTGGTGCCACTTTGAGTCTAGATACTGCCATAACGACTGTACGTTCTATTCGGGATAAGACAGTAGTACTCGTGAGGTCTGTCTTTCAAGTTGTGAGACGCATAGTAGCGATCACAGTCTTTTGGGCGGTCCTCGCTTAGAGGGCCAGGGTCGGAGTTCTTTCAACATAATCTCCCCTTGTCCTTTTCCCCGTCGCGATTGAGGGCGGTGGTAGCTCAAGGCAGGCCTGGCAAGCCAGACAGGACAGCCCGGGCGGAGTCCACACAGTAGGAAGGCGATGGCAGGACCGCTGGAATTTGCAGCTGTTGCCTTTACATAGGGCATGATTCGTAGACTTTGTCGTATTTCTTCACTGCGGACAGAATAACGAGCATGGCAATCGCCTCGTGTACCTACAAGTACATCGAATTCTACTTTATCTGAACTTTATCATAAACATTTGAGGGGGCTGCTGTTCACAAATCCCAGGAAAGAAAACCCTAAATAGTAAATACTAAATAGTAAACCCTAAATAGTAAATAGTAAATAGTACCAGCTCAAAATCAACCACCCTAAATCAAAACCTCTGAACATTACACCCCTAAATAGTAAATAGTAAACCCTAAATAGTAAATAGTAAATACCCAATACATAGCTTGTTGTGCAGTAAACAGTACCAATATCTACAAGTCAGGTTAATGTTAGGGTACTAATCTACGAGCATGGCATGAGGAACATTGTCATGGATACCATCCACATCCATTGCTGCACTAGTACAAAGACAAAGAGGTGAAAGAGATGCAGTAAAAGAGAGCTTATTGTCCCTCCTCCTCCTCCTCCTCCTCCTCGTTCTCTTCCATTGCTTCCTCTTCCTCCATTTCCTCTTTCTCCACTTCTCCCTTCTGCCTCCTCCTTCCTCCTCCTCCCTACTCCTCCTCTTCCTTCTCCCTTCTTCCTCCTCCCTCCTTCCTCCCTCCTCCTCACTTCTCCCTTCTTCCTCCTCCCTCCTCCTCCCTCACTTCTCCCTTCTTCCTTTTTTTTTTTTTTTTTTCGTTTTTTTGGAACCCCCATTCAGAAGACCCCCTTCCCCCCTTCCTCTGATCAATTACCCCGGCGCACCCCCCCCCCCCCCTCTGTCCTACCTTAGTGTGGACCACCCAGGACCATCACCCATCACCAACTTGGCTAGTTCACTGTTGCTCGCGGACTTTCTTTCTTTCTTTCCTCTTCTTCTTCTTCTTCTTCTTCTTCTTCTTCTTCTTCTTCTTCTTCGGGTGGTTGATTCCCTGGTGTTAGGGTAAATGATATTGATTAGATAGTAATCTGGCAATGAACCAGCTCAAATTCAACTCCAGTTGCAACCATGCATCACACTGGATTCCACACCCTGCAGAGCACCAGGCAACGGTTGGTGCTCAGTTGGGCATATAAAAAAGACTTGGAAAAAATCAGAGGGAGGACAAACAACATGAGAAAGACAAGAAGACATAAAACTGATTGTGTGTGTGTGTGTGTGTGTGTGTGTGTGTGTGTGTGTGTGTCACAGTGTGTGTGTGTGTGTGTGTGTGTGCGTGTGTGTGTGTGTGTGACCCACCCACTGTCCCTCCATGAGGAAGGCCAGATGGACTAGTGTCCTGGGGCACTAGGCCATTCAGCCTGGTGCCCCACGGACTCCACACACGCATACAGATATACACACACACACATATCTATCTATCTATCTATCTATCTATCTATCTATCTATCTATCTATATGTATGTATACACATCATGCAGGGCGGGTTAGACTTCGGAGTAGTGATTGAAGGCACTAGGCTATTCAGCCTTGGTAGGGAGTTGGGAGCTTCCAAAAGGGTTGCGTTCCATTCAGTCACCCAAAACCCAAAATGAGCAGAACCATTGCTATTGTGTATTCAACAAAGTGGACTCAATCGACCACCTTGCTGGCGAACGGGGCGGGCACAGTATTTCCCTGTGTGTGTTTGAAGAGAGATGAACCCCCCACGAGTATAATCGCTGCGAGTTGCACGAGAAAGCACGAGAAGAAACATACCAAGAAAATAAATCGTCCACACTTCATACGGCATGAGCAAAGGAAGGCAGGCGGCAAAAAAACTAGCCGCCGAGGTATGCAGCAAAGACACGGCGGCAGCGTGCAGACAGCAGCAAAGAAAAAGGTAGTGGACCTGTAGTGCAGCAACACTCAGTGAAGCAATGAAATAAGACACGCGGTGAATGAATGACCAGTGGTAATGAGGCACTTAGGCTGGAGGGCCGGGGGGAGGCGGGTGGGGTGGACAACATACAAACACAGTGAAGCAAAAGAAAAGGGCAGTGAGACGGGGAAAAAAACCGACGAGTAGCCACAAAACACGTAGGCTAGAGGGCAAGGGGGAGGCGGGCGGGCGAACACACAAACACACACGGCAGCCAAAGAAGCAGCACTAGTTTCCTAATTGCATTGGACTGTATCGTCAACCAGAGAGATAGAATGGTTTCTGGGCATATAGCCTCTGAGGATCCTACTCGCTCGTAATCAACGATTCCAAATATTCAACATCATGTCAATTGAATCACAACAGCGGACCAAAAGGCGAAAACCGAAAAAAAAAAAAAAAAAAAAAAGAAGGCTGATGATGAAAGATTGTTTTGTCGGAGTTGCACCGACTCATCTCAGGAGGCTGAACCGTCGACAACATGCAGAGTGGGGTTGCTCAACGGTTACCAAGCAATATTTATTTTATCACCCCGCCCCCCCCAACCAAAAAAAAAAAAAAAAAAAAAAAAAAAAA